GGCGGGGCTGCATCTCATCGCCTTTACTCCCGGGCGAGAGCCGGTGCCGCCTCACCGTGCCCGGCTGCCGGCCCCACCGCCCAGACAGCTACTCCCAACTCAGGGGCCAGGTTTTCTGCTTTTTGGTTCCCCTCTCCGATTCTGATCCCATCCTTCAAACCGTGCACCTCTTCCAGCTCGATTGCACCTTTCTCACGCAAACAGCTACTGAAAACACTGAAGAGAACCGGGCCGAAAGCACTTCCTTGGATCAGCAAGTCCAGTTCTCACCAAGAAATGGAGGTACACCTCTTTGAAGAGTTTAACGTCCGCATCAAAAGGGAATGAAAAGCAAAATCCCTGTTCTGCCTACGTCTTGAGATGGCAGCCCCTTGCTTTATGAATCATTATTGGGTGGTTTTTACAGCTCATGTTATGGCAGGAATTCTCTTGACAGCAGAACTGAAGCTATTACTTTCTGAATTTTCCTTTTTCACCTTGGGAATGCGTCCTACCAGTCCAAGTGGTCCAAAGTACAAAACCAGTTTGAAACGACTGTCTTTGCCACACTCTCCACCAAAGCACTTGGACTTTTTGAGTGTTCTCATTTCTGCAAAATTCAGCTGTTTAGATAACAGCTCTGTATTCAGCAGGTAGCACCTGTACTCCCCTGGAAACTTGCTGCAACTATCAAAGAAACAGACAATCCTCTTCCACATAGAAAATGAGCCGTCAAAGAGATGGGCGACCTGCTCAGAATCGCTCTTCAACTGGGTAACAGCCAGAAGTAAAAATCCAGCTATCCTGACTCCCCCAACGAACGCTCTGATAAATGCTACAATCTAGCTGTACTTCACTGCTGCTATCTGAAGGAGACGGACAAAGTAGCAAGCACAAATGAAAAACAGCCAAGATGAAATCACAGAGCCTCACTTGGAGTTGTTTGTATTAGGCACAGATACCTGGCCTTCACAGCTAGTAAACTAAGGCTAGTAAATTCAGAAGAGAGGTTAAAAAATCTTGATTTTGCTGGGAGAGTTCAAACTCTGTTGAGAACTGAATTTAAAAAAAAAAACCCACGTCCCTCCCCATGTTCTGCCAGTATGTCCAGAATTATCAACCGCGGGTACTGTTACTGTCCCATGCCTAGCAGGCTCACTCCCGTCAGCAGATCTGGGCACTTGCTCTCAGTCCCACGACAAGCCAACAAGCGGTTCCTGTGAATTGGTGTCCAGGTCAGGGGTAAGGTTTTTGGCTAAGAAGTTTGCACAGCCGTTCTCTACGTGCACACTACAGCAAAACAAAGAGATCTGTACCATGAAGGTACCAGTCACCTTCCCTGTGCAACACACAAGTGACTCGGGGCTCACTGAAGAGTGTGATCATCCCCCTTTAACAGGCTTAATCTAAGAATCTGGATATATGAACCACAGAAATTTCACACTTTTGTTTTCAGAAGGAACCAGAACATCCCCTCTGACTGTGGGCCGCTTCATATCCGATATTCAATACCCTTTCTTCAGAATGATATCTAAATTCAAAGACGCTTATTTCAGGAGATTGCTTGGACTGCGGATTACTGTATCAACCATCCACAGCTGGAGCTCAGGAGCCAAATGTAATTATAAGCCCCAGCAAAAAATAGATATCTGTGTCCAAAATACGCTATGATTTGACACAATTTGCATATACCAGAATTTCAAATCTGTCATTAAGGGCAGGAATTGGGGGCACTGAAAGTTGCCAAGAAACAACCTGTTTGTAATGTATCTAGACTACTTAATTATTACTTTAACGAGTCTCCCGCATCAAACATTTGCTGGCAGGATTTTAAATGTCTTCATCTCGTATCTTGCACAGCACCTTTTCAAAAAAATCATTTATGGCATTTGATTTCAGAGGACATATCCCAGGCTATCCCAGCTGACAGTGTATGGCTGACGTAGATGACAGCCCACATGCAGAATTTCATACTGAATTTGAACCCAATCAAAAAAAAAAAAAAAGATAGAAAATAACCCTGCTATGAATTTATGAATTGAGATTAGTTTCTGTAATTTTTTTCAGAAGTAACTACAAAGCATCTGTCCTAGTTTTTTTTTCTTACATCTATGTTCTGTTTACATCCATGATCTGTTCAACTGTGGCAGAAAAATTCTCTTCTCACTTAGGACTTCCTATTCTGTTGCTGTCACGCTGTACCACAAGTGAGCAGTGGGTTCTCTGTCGGCCAGAGAAAAAGGGGAAATCGTTAAAAGCACGGAAATAATACATACCGGTAACACAAGGCGCATGAGATGGCTTCTGTGGCAGTGGATGGGCCTATCTACTCCTTCAGCAAAGCATTTGTGTATTTACATTCCCCATCGGTTTAACTCCAAGGGGCTTTCTCTGGACAGACAGACCAAGCTAACGGAGGAATTCGTAGGCTACAATCCTTCTCCTACCCTTTCCTGTATTCTGACACCACAAGGATTAGGCCCATAACTTTTCGCTGCAGATAACATACAGGGCTGGTTTCAGCCAGTACTGATTGATCAGTGACCAGTTAAGAACTCTGAAATGTAACGTAAGAGACACGTAGGAAGAGACAATCATGTACCATGCACATATTCTCCCCTAACACTTGGGATTTACTCCCAGGTTTTTTGGGCTTACAGAAAAGACAAGACACCACAAATTCTTAACCTACATGATGAAATTCCCATGTAGAAAGCTTGCCTTGATCCATCTATGCCTATACTAGGAAGATTTCTCTTGTCTCTAGAACATCATATACATATTTTCTTTTCAATGTATTAGCAGATTTTTTTTTCAACAGTATAAAACAACATCACCTGAGAACAGACCTGAAGTTCACAAGAATCCATAGCTCCCATTCTTGCATTTAAGCATCCTTGTAATTTCAGCCATATAATTCAACTCCTAGAAAAGGCTGTGCATTTAAAAATCCAAATCCTGTTTTGCAAGGAAGACTCTTCCAGTTTTTTCCTCTAACCCAGGAAGGAAACAACCCTGCTGTACTAACACAGACAGTACCACCTGCAGAGGTTGCATCCAGTCTCTGTGGAGACTCCCTGTACAAGGAACGTCACCAACGTCACCGACAGTTATCTGGTTATTCTGTAACATTGCCAAGGGAAGGTGACAGATCACCCAACCCTATTCCTAAGAGCTACAACACTGTTCTGCAACAAGGTAAAAAAAACTAAACCCAGCTGAAATCTGTTATTAAATTTATACAAAGTCAGAAACAAAAAGCACTTCCTCTTCCCATTTTAAACCAAAGTTAAATAAGCAACCATCTGAAAAAGGTGGAGGCTTTGTCAATATTTTCCAAAGCAGCAAGTAAACAATTTGGTGTCTGCTATAAATATGCAAGAATATTTATCACGAACATATATCAAGCAGCATCCTCGCTGTAACAAAGATGTACTGCCTGAGAAAGACAGGGACAATTCAGTCATCTGCCCCAAAACTACAGCTTTTTCAAGCACATCAACTGAGCTCAAGGCTCTCTGCCTCTGTGCAAGTATGCCAGAAACATTTTCAACATAAATATTTAATGGGAATAAATGCTTTGAATATGCATAGAACTTTTCAGATTTCATGTTACTCTGGATCTATAGGTGCCAGAGATTTGGATGTAGAAGCCAAAGACACGAATCTGGAAGAGGGTGGCTCGCTTGTACTAAAGCAGGAATGATCAAACTACAGGTTCAGCCCGACTCCACTTTCCGTTCAAAGAACCAAACAAAACCCCATTCATCCTGCTTGGCTGCCCCCTCCCCGGTCTGTTCTTCCCAAGCTCACAGAAAGCCCCCCAGCCATCAGAGACACAAGTTACTGCAGTCTTGCCTCCCTCCTGAGCAGCATGGTAGTGTTCTGCAAGCACAGCCACTACACGCAAAGCTTTTCTGTGAAACCGTACCTACCTCAGCTCTAATTAGAAGCAGATTTGGGCAATAACCCTGTATTTAGATGGTTTGTCTTTGCCTGCAGATCGATGCCGCTCCCCATACAGAGATTCAGGTAAGTTACCTGAGGTAACCGATGCCAGTGTTAATGCAGCCTTTGCACTGCCTCAGCACGGTGTTTGAATGTTGCTATTTAAATGGGACAGTGTCCTCCACAGTTTGTTAGAGATGCAGAGTATAGAGGGTGTTACTATGATCCTGGTGACTGAGCTAATTGTGTAAATATGCCAATGGATCTTGAAGTTGTGCAAAGATCAGCACCTAAGTCACAGTGTGAATATGAAATTAGTTGGACTTTTTCCAGCACCTTGGTTTCTTGGAAAAGTTGCCATATTCAGGCCGACAATCTATAGCAATGCAAACTTCTATATGCCAAGGTCATTCCCAGAAATCCCCTTCACTCGCTGCAAGGGACCAAAACAATCATCTGTTACGGAGTTTTCAAACAATAAGCTTTAATTGCCTTATTAGAAAAATATGCACTGAAATATATATAAATGTGATTACATTAAAGTAATTCTGTAGTCTAACATACTAGAAACCAAAGCCCAGTCATATTTTTAGTGATACAGAGTAGGAAGATTTAGGTTTTAGAAATTTTCCGTAGAGAATAGCGAAGTATGCAGTATCTTTTAGGAAACCACAGTAAAGACGAGACAAATCTCCACATTGCAATAAAAACTAAGTAGATCAATTTATTCTGTATACTATACAATGTGTTAGCTTGTAAAGAACAGTTGACATTTGTATCACCTTAACATCTTCACTGGGTGTAAATATGTCCAACAAAATGTACTCCTGCAGCCTTTACACAAACACTGTCCTACGACATCAAGAACAATGAGAGGGAAGCCTTTGGTGCTACAGATTTGGGGACATATCTAGGAATTTGTAATTAATCCACTTAATTATCTTGAATAAAATGTTGGTGCAATCTGCTATTATAAGCCTACGTGAGTACTACTCTAATAACTAGACATGTCTACCTTTAAAGGCAAGATATGAAAGGGACTGCCAGTCTACAGTGTGGACAGGTTTTATTTGAAAAAGGTAATTATCAAATGGTAAAACTCATATAATACATTATGTACATAAGTTTGGATAGCTGAGTTATCTTGCTGAAGCAAGCTGAAAGTAAGCATTGATTTGCAGTCACGTTTGATTTACTGTTAAGTGATTACTGGACTTAAGTTTTATACAGTGTATAGAATCAAAATAGCTGTGCCTGCTGCTGAGGTCTGTGGGATGTGAAGGCTCGTAATCAGTCATTGACCTAGTTAGTATTACAGTACTCAAATATACACACGGATAATATATTCATAGCTGAATTTGTAGTAATCTTCAGAACTGCAAGTCACCAAGTGAACATTGGAAAAGCTTGTGCTGTCCAGCCAGCAGGACAAGCTGAGTCGTAGCTGAGTGGAATGTTTAAATTTAAATGGCTATATTTTTAAACCTTCCCAAACATCAAGAAAGCTCACCTTACATGAGCTGCAGAGTAGTGGCACCAGACAATACACAGCAAGTCACCTTAAAATGTTCAAAATTTGTTTCAGGCCCAGTCCTATCATTAAGTTTCAATTCCATTTATACATACAAAAATAAAGAGGGATTTTCACATTAGGACAAACATCTATAAAAAGCAGTTTGCTTCAATATATCCAGTTCCCTTGCTATTCTCCCAGCCTAATTTCTGACTTCAAGAAGTCAAGTAGGACTGTTTCTTCAACCTGTTCTGCAAAAATCACAAATTCTTTACAATACTAGTGGAGGATAAGGAACAAGGACAGGCTTGACAGAGCCCATTTAATTACTAGAAAAGGGCTATACAGACTTAAAAAGAATCAGGTTAGCAATTTTGAAATTCTCTGGAATGACTTCTCTGAACCAAAGACATTATACAGACACCAATGTACTTTGCTCGTGTTCTCATCAAAACAGAACCAAATTAAGATTTTTCATTTTGTCTTGATCATTTTCTTATGTCTGCCTTTAGAAGTGATCACTGCAGAAAAGAAGGGCCAGTGTTCTTTTTGACTAGCAGTCCTTTATCTTGTAAGACCTTTCTGAATATGTCAACACAAAGCACACCCTTCTAAAACCAGGCACCTTTAAGAGTGTTTTCTCTTATAATACCCACAGTGCTTTGTTTTGAACAGGCTGTTTCAGAACTGTTTCTTTAAAGAAAAAGTATTCAGTAAACTGATCTTTTTAAAGAGTTTCTTCTACTTCCAAAGAACATCCAGGCTGTGATTACCTATATTAAAATCAATTACATTGTGGATCATACTGCACTTCTAATATTCTGACTTCATTGAACAAACATACTTTTAAACGCATTAATTTACCTGTCTAATATCTACCACGTATTTTGGCAATCTAGTACTTATGACCTGCATCATAAAGATGAACTGAAGTTCATTCCTATTTCCCGACATGAAATGTTACCTATTTCTCAATAAGTCATTATATAAATACCACTTCCAGTTCTTTGTTTCCCCAAAGCCAATGAGGGGCTGCTGTATAACAAAGATAAAAGGAATTAGTTTACTACTACTTCAGGAGTCCAAGAAAAAAAGAAAATTATACCCTTCTGCTTTCAGAAGTCTAAAACAGCCCAACGACCATTGCGTTGTAATCAAACCTTAGCAAGCCTAGATTTGGAGTTTGCCACACAGGAAACTCTCTAGAACAGTACATTTAGCCATCTCCCACATCATCAGACACAGCATTTCAGCTTTAAAAGCTTGAAGAGCTGCTGAACAGAAAGGGCACTTGCCTCCAAATACAGGTACAAATATCAGATTTATATTTGAATGCTGGACATTGTTGCCAAACAAAATATACAACCGCAAAAGCATAAGGCTGAGTCAAGTGTAAATAGAAGTGTTTCACAAATTTCAGCTATTCAATTTTTACTTTCAGTAGCAAGATTCTGGGCTCTTAGTTTCAGGACAAGACTTTGAAAGATACAGAATCACTTGTGCTTTGATTGGCACATTATCCGCTTTTTAAAATGTAAAACTAATAGACATTTGCAAAAGGTTGTGCAAAACTATTGTATTTACAAAAATGGCACAAGAGTGAATTCAACAGTCTATGCACATGCACACTTCATTCACATCTTCAACAAAAGTGTGTCCTAAGCTACGGAACTGAAAAGAATACCAGCTTCAACAGGCAGTTGCCAATAAGCACTAGATTCACAAGAGTTACACCAGAATGGGCAAATATTGCCCAAGTAAAAACTCTATTGTTAAAGCTGAAACAGGTTTAAGGCCGTTCAAGTTCAAAAGCAGAAACAAAATTCAATCAGAGCCCTGTCTTTGTTTTTATACATGCTTTACCATCTAGCAACTTGTGGTCTAAACCTCTATTTTAGACAACAAACCCAAACACAGAAGAAAAACCCAACACAACTGGAGGTTATATTAAATACAAATATGCTGTAATTAAGATGAAATAACAAAAGCAGAAACATTAGAAGTTGTAAAAGTTGCGATGTCACTTGCTGGAACCAGTCCTACACTAGGAAATAGGCAATATGTACATTTTCAAGTAGATTACATTGCTCTAACCAAACTTGTCCTTTTTAATCAGTGCATTGTTCTCAACTAGTCCAAATACTACACGTTTTACTCTTAACAGTACTCCCTTACAATAGCAGCACATGCTATCGCTATCTGCAAAGCTGTCAGTCTCATGACTTAGTGTAAGAAAGAAAAAGGGGGATGTGAGGCTGAGAAATAACTATTAAGGAGAAATAACAGGAATGAGAATAATCATGCAGTTCAGCTCTTCTCGTCAGCCAGCCAGCTTGCTAGCAACAAGAGATGGTTTCCGCTGTGGAAGATCCTGTGGAGTAGGAATATGGTCACCAGTGACTTCTGTCTTGTCAGGAGCTGCAGTAGGCAGTTGCTTATTCTTCATCTTTGCTTTAGCCATGTTGTAATCACCAGAATCAAAGTATTTTTGCTGGAAGACAAAAGACACATATTTAAAAGCCTGAAATCTTATCAGATGCATACACTGAATTATATGGTTAAATAGATTCTTTAAGTTATAAACAGTTATAAAATCTTCCCAATTTGTCAGTGTAGCTCTGTCAATTCAAATAAAGAAAATCTTATCAGGACTATTTAGCACACACAGCTAAACTCTTAACATCAGACAAGTATAGACTTAAGCTTCCACACGGACCATTAAACTCACGCCATATGTGAACACTATTTTTGCCCTGGTTTTCCCAAGAGCTCTGGTCTCCCACAAGTGAAACCCTGGGGCTTGTAACAAGCTCTGCTACACAGAATAACCAAACAATGCATGAACTAATGCTGGAGAACAGAGCCTGCGCTATCATACCAGAAGATCAAAGTAGCATGAAACTGCATGCTAACAAGAAAACCTCTTATCTGCATACATTAAACCAGTGAAACTATAATCCCTGAAGTTCCTAAAACCAATTATTTAGCAAAGTCTAATCTACTGTGTAGCCCTTCTGCAAAGCACTATGTGAAGGAAATTCTTCTCCCACGCTCTAGATTTCTTCTGAATACAGGAGTACATTAAGTCTGAATTTCTAAAACAGTGTTCCTTATTTTTTCAGCAACTTTTTGTTAGCATTACCTTTAACATTTTTTTGTTATTGTCAGATATTATCTATGGAGTTAAATCGTAACAGTCATTTTGCTTTATCTGCATCATGGTAAGTAAGCTGAGGCATGGAATTTCATCCAAGGTCTGTGTCAAGTCTTCAGCTGCTCATGGACACGTTTTGCACGAAAAGTTGTATTTTCATAGAATAGTTTGGGTTGGAAGAGACCTTTAAAGGCCATCTAGTCCAACGCCCCCTGCCATGGGTAGGGACATCTTCAACTAGATCAGGTTGCCGAAAGCCCTGTCCAGCCTGACCTTGAATGTTTCCAGGGATGCTGGCATCTACCACCTCTCCAGGCAATGAGTACTAGTACCCCACCATCCCCACAGTAAAGAATTTCTTCCTTATAGCCAGTCCAAATCTACACCGGTTTAGTTTAAAACTATTACACCTTGTCCTATCACAACAGGCCCTGCTAAAAAGCCTGTCCTCATCTTTCTTCTAGGCCCCCTTCAGGCACTGGAAGGCTGCAATAAGGTCTCCTCAGAGCCTTCTCTTCTTCAGGCTGAACAGCCCCAACTCTCTCAGCCTTTCCTCACAGGAGAGGTGCTCCAGCCCTCTGGTCATTTTTGTGGCCTACTCTGGCCCCACTCCAACAGCTCCATGTCTGTCCTGTGCTGAGGGATCCAGAGCTGGATGCCG